CTCTCTCATTCAGTTATCTGAATGAATGCCACATAAAATGAAATCGTATGTGATGTCTTTCTTTTTTCAGAAAGTTAAAAAAGAAGATCACATAGAAGAGGATCATGTAGCATATGCGTCTGTCGCTGTGAGACAATGAAACTTCAAAATTTTTCATACAAGACATTCTGTGCTTAGTTTGGTCTGTTTAAACAGCTTCTGCATGAGCATGTATCTGCTGCTGGATGTTTGCGGTTGATGTGTGAATGTGTCTGAGTAAAAAAACGTGTGGTTGAAGAGTGTTTTTCCATTCCTGCCTCACAGTTTGATTTCCACTCAAAAAAGCTTCATTATGAAATACTCTCTGACAGAAAAAGTATTTCGTAGTATCTATATAATATCTATTTATAAACATGGGAATATATTTATTAGTGGTCACAAATCATATACAGAGTGATCTTAATTGTATGCCGTTATCCATGGGCATACCATAATTAACACAAGAAGCGGGAAGAACAGGTTTGCTTTTCACAACGTAATTTGGTACACAGACTCAAGTTACAACAAGGATGTCTAATATAGGCCTAGCCATCAAATCAAAACTCTGGAGAAAAATCTGTCTCTGATCAGCCAGTTCCTTCTGCTTAAATGTAGACTCCTCTCCTTATTCATTGATGAGGAGCAGGCACTAATCAAGCTCTTATGAGAAGATGCAGTACAGTCAGTAGTAGAACGGAGAGGGGGCAAAAAAAAACTACACTACCCAGCAGTCTGTTCTGGGGAAGAATCGGAAGTCGTAGTTGAGTAAGCTTCTTTTTTTTTTTTTGGTTGTAGCCTAGTGAACGGAAACTAAAAAAAATGTCATCAGGCTATAATAATAATGACTTTCCAAAAGAGGACAGAATTATTGAGAGACTGATTACATTGGTCACAAAAGATGATTCGATGTCAAATTTGTCGTCTCTCCCTCATTGTATTAGAATCACTCACGCAGGTTCTGAAATGCTATGTAATGTAGGGCTAACACAGTCATTAAGTGTACATTAGTTTTTTTTTTATGAAAACAAAAACGTTATATTATTGCTAGATTTACGGTGTTAATAACTGTGGAAACGCCGCCACAGTCTGTGAAAAGAGTCCATTCAACATAATCACAAAAAAATAAAATAATAATAATAATAATAATTTCTTTCCATCCTAACTACAAAAAAGTTGTGTTGGGGAAAGGTGGTGTTGTATAACTGCAAAGTAATACAAACAATAGACTTAACTAGTGTCCTCATCAGGAATTCGCCTTTCCACGAACAGCCTTCGCTGTCCAATTTAAAAACATTTTGTAGTAAATGAACTGTTAAGATTTAACATTAACCTTTAATATCGCAGTTTGACTGAATATGAAAATTAATAGAAAGTTTGTACAGTCAAACAATAATCCAGTGACTCAAAATTTATTTAATTCTTTTAGGAATTTTATTTATGACAACTTACAAGTAGCCTATTGCAGAAAAAATGAACTCAACAGTATAAGACAGCATTTTCCCTGGTTAATGAAACTTATAAATACTATTTAAATTATATATATATATATATATATATATAAACTTATAAATAAAATAATACAATATTAATGACAATATAATACGAATACAAAATTAATAATGTTACACAACACGTGCACAAAGGGAGAACATTCAAACCAAGCTAAGACAGGACTTGAGCTAGGGTTCACCCTTTTATTATATTATATTATATTATATTATATTATATTATATTACTAAATGAAAGAAAGTGAAACCTTATATTATATTATATTATATTATACTTATTATAATATTTGATCATATGATTAAATGAAAGAGAAAGAATGAAAGTGAAACTGATGTGACCTGTGGTCAAGTATGGTAATCCATTCTCGGAATATGTGCTCTGCATCAAGGGCACCTCAGTCGTGGTACTGAAGGTGGAAGAGAGCGCTACTTTCCCCACCTACAAATCCTGCCGGTACTGAGACTCGAACCTGCGACCTTTGGGTTACAAGACTCTCTAACCATTTGAATATTAGGAAAAGTGAAATCTTGGTATATTGACAATATTATTTCTATGAGCAAGCACAGTTTCAGATTATCTTGCTCCACTCCTCTTCTCTCCATCCTTTTCTTTTGAATGAATATGTCAGTGCTTCAGTTCAGATGGCTTCATTTTTTTCATCTTGCAGAATATTCACGTCTTAAAAAAAAAAAATTTAAAACAATTCAGTGAGAATTTTGCACAAAGATGTTGCTACTTGCTGATAAAAATAAAACTGCATCATGCGACTTTTGTGTCATTTCAAACTCTGAATTTCAAAGTTGTATTAGTGAGTATTAAAAGGGTCATATGATGCTTTTTTAAAGATCACTATTTTGTGTATTTGGTGTAACAGAATATTTTGAAAATGAGGCAGTTATTTGGTTTGTCCTATTTGTGAATTATTTAGAGTTATGAGATGATCATTGGTCAATCAGTTTATCAGTTATTCATGATGGGTAAAAATCCTATTTGACCTCTGACTCTAGTTTGACTGTTTTTGATAGATTCAGTTATTTATTTGACTGTATTTGCTGTTCTGTGTAGAGAAGATCAACACAGTGATCATTGTGTGAAGTTCACAGTGGCAAAACAGGAAGAAACTCTTAACCTACAAACGAAACTCACATCAAACAAATGGCTACCTTGCAGAGGCTTTTGTCCACCAAACCATGTTTCTGATGAAAACCAACCGCAGCAGGTTTCAGTTTGACTCAGAAATGAGCTGCTAGTGTTACACCTCAATGAGTCTAGCAATAATGCAAGATGGCAGACTGTTTTTGCCATTTGCAAGAACTAATTGATTATAAAACCATTTTAAA